AGATTTTTCCCCCCAAATTTTCCAAGAAAAGCTTTATAATTTAAGAAAGATTTTTTTTTTCTTCCCAAAAGAGAAAGACCAACTTTTCCCAAAACTTCCCAACTTTAAACTTTGGCTTTTTATACCCCCATTTTTGCCTCAGGGAGAAATCACTTTCTCCTGCAGCTTGAATTTAGCATTTCAGCTGTCCCCAGGTCAAAAGCTTCCATAGGAAACTTTTTCTTCCCTATAAGCTCAAAGAGCTTTTTTACTACCCAAAAAGCCCAAAGAAAGTTTTTCCCAGTTTGCGTTTATAGCCCCCAAAGTTAGAAAATTGTAGAGGTTTTCTGCCTAGTTGCCTTACTTATTTTTTCCTACACGATCTTACACTTCTAAGTTTTCCTACACTATATTACTACCCTATACCTTATACTTATTTTTCGCAGATCGAAATTGAGAAAGGGATAGAAGATAGAAAATTTTGACAGAAGAGAATTTCGCTGCAGCATCGGACATCCTTCCAGTCTGCTTTCCTTTTCTCTCGAGGATAAAACCCCTGCCTCTCAGCCGGGCGGTGGTGGCGCACGCCTTTAATCCCAGCACTCGGGAGGCAGAGCCAGGCGGATCTCTGTGAGTTCGAGGCCAGCCTGGTCTCCAAAGCGAGTTCCAGGAAAGGCGCAAAGCTACAGAGAAACCCTGTCTCGAAAAACCCAAAAAAAAAAAAAAAACCAAAAAAAACCCTGCCTCTCAATATATATAAAAAATATGTTTATTTTCCATAACACCGGCATGCCTTATCCCCTGGCAGGGCTGAACTCAGCACTTTCGCCAAAAACTCTGTAATAAAACTATTATTTTCCTTTATCTTTAGTCCCTATTACTTTGTCTTTAGTCCCTGTTCATTTGTCTTTAGTTCCCCCTTTTTTTAGTCCCCCCTTTTTCTTTAGTCCCTTTTTTTTTCTTTTTTCTTTAGTCCCTGTTGATGGCACCATTCTGTGGGGCATTTACCCACCACCCCCACAGTTCCCCAGAGTTTTCTTGAGTGTGAGCAGCAGGAAATATTAGATAGAAGGATTTATTGCGGAGAATCTTGCGGAGATAAACAAATAGAAAATAAAGGATAGCCTCGAGAGGGCCTGGAACCTATTCCAACGGGCCCCGACTGTCTCTGGGCCAGGGTTTTTATAGAGACGCTAAGGGGTGGAGCAAAAGACCTCCTCCCCCAGCACAGCCAAGTGCAGACCATCTCAGACACCTGCACTCAGGCCCGTGGTCCTAATCATCCTCTATGTGGACCTGCTGGGTAAAGCCATGAGGAACCCGAGAACGGGCTCCCACAGGGAGGCATGTGAGACCTTGGTGGAAGGGTATTTTGAGGGGGACTAGAGTGCTGTGGAATGTCATTCTAAATGCTGTGCATGTGTGTTGCACTGATTGGTTGATAAATAAAATGCTGATTGGCCAGTAGCCAGGCAGGAAGTATAAGCAGGATGAGTAGACAAGGAGAATGCTGGGAAGAGGAAGAACAGAATCAGGAGTCAGCAGCCAGACACAGAGGAAGCAAGATGACAAGGCAGAACTGAGAAAAGGTACCAAGCCACATGGCTAAACATAAAAAAGAATTATGAGTTAAATGTAAGAGCTAGTCAATAATAAGCCTGAGCTATTGGCTAACCAGTTATAATTAATATAAACTTCCAAGTGATTATTTTATAAAAGACTGCAGGACTGTGGGTGAGAGATTTGTCTTGACTATGGGCCAGGCAGGACACAGGAAAACTTCCAACTACATTTGGCATCCCAATGCGCAGCTCCTGAATTTCATGAGGCCAAAACGAGTTAAAAAAAAAAGCACTTCTAAACACACAATAATGGAGCCAAAAACAGTTTCCTACTTCATGTCTCATGTAGGTTGAGATATAGAGACACCAAGGTACAGAGAGGCTGTGGCATACAGACTTGAGCTACATTATGGTTGATTCACAGTATATGACCTTGAGTGCAGCAGGCAGATTCCTGCTACTGTACACAGTGGCCTCTACAAGCCATGCAGCATGCTACATGATGGATTTACCTTCTGCTAGTACAGACAAAAAAGAGAGAGAGAGGTTTCTGGGCAACACGTTCCTTCTTAGAAACATAGACACACTGCTTCCCGGAGTTGGCGGTAGGCATACTTCTGCCATGTTTGGAAGCTGAGGAGGGAGGAGTCAGCATCCAAGGCTGTCGTGTTGGTCCTAGCCAAGCATTTCAGCAGTGTAAAATCTCTCCTGGTCAGAGAAGAATTAGAGATTCACAATAAAACACATTCGGATTAAATAAAACCCTAAATAGTTTACAATGTATGTAAAAATGTACGTAGGCTTGGAAGACAGAGGAAAAGGAGGATAGACAGTTATATAAAGAAAAAGTTTTAAAAACTAAAGTCTTTAAAAAGAAATTAAAAGTAATATAAAAATAAGCCACATAGAGATGGAAATCACACAGAGAATCTGGATTATATTGTCTTTGGGATTTTTAACTGCAGAAAGACATTTTAGTGTAAAGGCTGTTGAGTTAAGCCACTATATATATTTTAAAGGTATCTGGACTTCAAAGTTCATGACTAAGGATATGTTACTTTGGAAAAGAGGTTCTGCTTTTGTTTATGCAGAAGATGTAGATGTATTTCTGAACAGTCTTATTAAAAAAGAAACAAAGAGCCAAATACCAAGTTAAAAGCCCAAGAGGTCAGAGCACTAGTGAAAAGTCTTTAGCTTACCAGCCGCTGCTGTCCTTCCCCTGAGAAAAGAGACCTACTTCCTGTGTGTCTGTATTTTTATTCTGTTCTGCCTTCTCATTGGTTCTAAACCCAACCCCATGACCTCCTCATCACTGCCTGTTTATACAGGCCTCCAGGTCTCTATGGTTGGTATTGAGATTAAAGCCAAGCTGGCTATGTCCTTGAACACACAGACTCTGCCTGCCATGTGATCGCATTAAGGGTGTGTGCCACCATTGCCAGACTTCTGCTATGGCTTGCTATTAGCTCTGACCCCCAGGCAACTCTATTTATTAACATACAAATAAAATCACATTTCAGCACAAATAAATTATCACCATATGTGGATTGCTTCCAGGCTGATATGGTTGATCATCCAAGACCCTCTGAAAGGTCTCTGATGGCACCATGGCCCAGATGATCCAACATCCAGAGTGGCTTCAAGGCAACTGGCTCATAGAATACAGCATCACAGACTATTCCAGTCAGGACTTGATCATAATTCTTAATTTTCTCAGGATCCACATAAGAATATGGTGCCCTCCATCAGCAGGAAGTAACCTGGAACACCACACAAACATTCCGAAAAAAATGGATTATAGATATTTGTCTTTGTTAGAGATTGGTTACAAGTTGCTATGGGTCATAGTCAATATCTTTCTAAAAGAAAAAAAGGGGGTATGATACAGATATAATAGGATGAAAGGGTAGATTATTGAATCTACTTTTAAAGAACAACTTGTTTCACATTGCTATGGATTTCCGTTTATTGATACAAATTTAAAGTTAATTTTGTTATACTGTATATATATTTCTACTCTGGTTTAAGGGATTATGTTTGTGTAGCTCATTGAAATTGTAATGAATAATTAAGAAATACAGATTAATAATTAGTCATCCATGATAATCAAACTTATAGTCATGTTAGTTAAGTTTTCTAGGTATACATAGATATATTTCAATTAGGTAGATGATCTTCAAACACTTCAAAGAACTACAGAATATGGCATTTAAAATATTTTAAATACTTAGACTTTCCTGGACAATGAGAGAGAGGCTGGCTGCACCCCGGCCAACAGCAAGGTCCACAAAGAGTCCAAACCATCACCTGGTGCTGTGCCTGTGTGGTGGCATCAAAAAGCCATTCCTTTGCCAGTTTCTCCATAAACACAACTGTGACATATCCATGCACTGCTGCCCACAAGTTCTGCACACACCTGCAACACTCTGCAGTCAACTGCCTCAAGAAGAAGTGTGGTCCTACCTATAACCTGTGATGCAAGAAAGTCAAATTATTCAGAGACCTTGTTTGGCCCAAGACCAGTGACTACTGTTTTGCCTGAAGAAAAAGGACTAAGGAAAGTGATAGTGCTAAGATTGGGCTAGCGACATGGATCAGTGTATAAGTACCTGCTGCCAACCACCAGCCCTGCCTCTGACCCACATTATGCAAGGAGAAAACTGCTTTCTATGACCTCTGACCTCCATGAGCATGCTGTGGAACAAGTATATCTACACACATAAAGAAGAAAAGAAGTGTAATTTATTATTATTAAATGAGTATAATTTTAAAAATAAGTGTAAATAATAAATCGGTGTGATTTAAAGTTGTAATGGAAAGAACACACATCAAAAAAAGAACAAAGCCGGGCGGTGGTGGCGCACGCCTTTAATCCCAGCACTCGGGAGGCAGAGCCAGGCGGATCTCTGTGAGTTCGAGGCCAGCCTGGGCTACCAAGTGAGTTCCAGGAGAGGCGCAAAGCTACACAGAGAAACCCTGTGTCTCGAAAAACCAAAAAAAAAAAAAAAAAAAAAAAGAACAAACATCCAGAAAGAGTGATGCACATTTGGAACTCAGCACTGGAGACTTTGGGAAGAGGATTATAAATTTTATTCCATGCTGATGTACACAGTGAGACCTTTCACAGAAATCGTCAACATTTAGAATATATGGAATTATTGCACATTAAAAAATGTGAAAGAAATAAAGCAAGCCCACATGTAAATTTGTGTTTCTTATGTGTAATATTCATGTCTGCTAATTTGTCAGTTCCACTTGGAACTGACAGCGATGAGGACAGATAAAACAGACAAAGAATTGATTGTAGAGTCTGCTACCTGACCTAGACACAGCCTTGGGGAAGTCAGAGCCTGGTGCCTGAGGAGGGCACTTCCACTTCCTGTGGGGCTGCTGAAGTACAACTGTGTCATAGGGAGTGTCCAGCCTCCAGAGACCACACCCTGTGTCTCCTGTCCCTCCAGACAGTCTCTGTGGCTCTGACCATAAGCACAGTTGCAGCCTCCAGGAGGAGATGCCATGACCTTCATCTACACAGCCCTGCTCCATCTGGGTGAGATGTGGAGATGGGGAGGGGATATTGTGGTCTAGGATCGATGCTGCCCCACAGCCTAGCACTGGCCCATCAGGAAACCCCAGGGTCTCAGGAGGTTCTGAAGGGGGGGAACTGTTTAAGCTTCAGGGACAAACCTCTCACAGGGAACTCTCTTCCAGGACTGACTCTGGGCCTGGGGACCCCAGTGCTGGCAGGTGAGTGAGTGTCTGCAGATGTCCTGACCCTCACTTCTCATCATTCCTGCAGCCATGCCTGGGCAGTGAGGATGGAGAACAACGCATGTGTGCTGACCCTGGGCATGGCTGGAGGGTTGGGGTTGGAGCTGCAATCTGATGGCTGTCCTGGGTCCTAGATGCTCTTTTCCTTGCAGGGACCCTCCCTAAGCCTGTCCTCAGAGTACAGCCAGACTCTGTGGTCTACAAGCAGACTACAGTAACCTTCTTCTGTGAGGGGACCACAGGAGCCAAAGCATACAGACTCTATAAAGAGGAAAACCAAAAACTAATGCACATAAAGATCCCACAAAATCCTAAGAACAAGACTGAATTTTCAATCTCAAAAATAGACCAGCAGTATGCAGGGCAATATCGCTGTCAATATCACACTCGTGATGGATGGTCAGAGTTCAGTGACTCCCTGGAGCTGATGGTGACAGGTGAGAGGACACATAGGGACTCAGCCTCAGGATTGACCCTCAAGAGGTGGGTCTATTAGCAGGGTTACCTCCACCTCACAGCCATAGAAGATAAGGAAGCCTGATACGTTTAACTGATTCCTCCTTTTCTCCTAGGAGTCTACAGTAAATCCAGTCTGTCAGCACAGCCCAGCCCTGTGGTGACTGAAGGAGGGAATGTCACCCTCCAGTGTGGCTCAGGGCAGTCATATCACAGTTTTGTTCTGATGAAGGAGGGACCTCAGAAGCTCTCCTGGATGCTGGACTCACAGTATAACTACTCTACTAGACAGTACCAGGCCCTGTTCTCTGTGGGCCCTGTGACCTCCAGCCAAAGGTGGACATTCAGATGCTACAGCTTTAACAAGAAAAGACCACAGTTGTGGTCAGAACCTAGTGACCCCCTGGAGCTCCTGTTCTCAGGTGAGGAACTTTTCCTAGAATGATGTTGAAACGATACATACGCCAGGGAGACCTTGGTGTGTGGTGTGTGTGAGGGGACAAAGCTCCTGAGCCCATGACCCAGAGCATGGGAGAGAGAGGGACACAAGACACAGAATCCAGGACAGAGAGTGACAGCAAAGCCCAGGAGGTCCAGGATGGAGATAAATCCTCATGGACCTTCTGTTACTCTGGATCAGCTCATGTACCATCCACAACAGCTAGGGGAACCCCACAGAAGAGAGGGGGAAGGGCTGCAGGAGCCAGAGCACTCGGGACATCAGGAGAACATGGGCCACAGAATCTACTAAGCAGGGATCATGAGGGCTCACAGAGACTGAAACAGCAACCATGGAGCCTACACGGGTCTGCCCTAGGCCCTCTGCACACATGCTGTGGTTGTTTACCTTGGGTGTTTTGTTTTGTAGAGTTTGTGTAACTCTGGCTGCCCTGGAACTCACTCTATAGACCAGGCTGGCCTTGAACTCACAGGAATCTGCCTGCATCTCCTTCCTGAATGCTAGAATTAAAGGCATGCACCACTAGTGCCTGGCTCATTTGGGATTTTTGTTAGACTCATAACAACAGGAGTGGGGATGTCTCAGATTCTTTTTCCTGCACGTGAAATCTTATCCCTCCTACTGGGTTTCCTTGTCCAGCCTTAATATGAGTGTATGTGACTAGTCTTATTGCATGCTGTTATACTGTATTCAGTTGATATCACTGGAAAACCTGCTCTTTCTGAAAGGAAACAGAGGAGCAGTTAATCTGGGGGAGAAGGGAGGTGGGGAGGCTGCTGTCAGGATGTATTATATGAGAGAAGAATAAATTAAGAAGAAAAAAATGCCATCTGCAACTGTGACTTTCTCTGAGCCACATTCAGACAGACCCAACTTCTTCTCTCCTACTTCCTTGCAGGGACCCTCCACAAACCCACCATCAAGGCTGAGCCAGGCTCTGTGGTCTCTTTCCGGAGTGCCGTGACCATCTGGTGTCAGGGGAGCCTGGATGCAGAAATGTATGTTCTGCATGAAGAAGGAAGCCAAAAACCCTTGGACACACAAACCCCAGAGAAGCCTGAAAACAAGGCCAAGTTCTCCATCCCTTCTGTGACACAGCAACATAGGGGACAATATCGCTGTTACTGTTACAGCTCAGCTGGCTGGTCAGAGCGCAGTGACACCCTGGAACTGGTGGTGACAGGTGAGGGGACAATCAGGGCCTCAGCCCTAGGCTCTGCTCTCAGGAGGATTCCCCTCCTACAGTGTAGCCCTGGAGAACACTGTGGCTGTGTGACCCATGTAACAGGCTGCCTCCTTCTCTCCTAGGAATCTACTACAACAAACCCAGCCTGACAGGCCTGCCCAGCCCTGTGGTGACATTAGGAGAGAACATGACCCTCCAGTGTGTATCACAGAATGGATATGACAAGTTCATTCTCACCAAGGAAGATCAGAAGTTCCTCAGCTCCATGAACTCACAGTATATATACCATATTAGGCAGTGGCAAGCCTTGTTCTCTATAGATCATGTAACACCAGACCACAGAGGGACACTCAGATGTTATGGTTACTACAATCATACCCCACTCTTGTGGTCAGTACCCAGTGAGCCCCTGGAAATACACATATCAGGTGAGTCAGTCACATCACTGACCAATCATTTTTTGATACCCTAAACCGTTGCCATGGAGTGAATGCCAACAGAGAATCCTCAAGTAATATCCACTTCATTCTATATTGCAATACCGGTTTGGAGTAGACTGCATGAAGATCTTGGGGAGGTTGCAGGACAGAGGTAGGACAGTGAGCAGAGGCGGGACACTGGGTCAGCATCTAACTCTCACCCTTCTCTTGTTTTTCCTAGGACACATTACAGCCTCCAGCCTTCCAACCTCACTGCCCATGCCAACAACTGGTGAGTATCAGGCACCAAAGTGCAGGGAGTATGCTCCATCCTGAGGCTGCCTCTCAGCTCTTAGGCCAGAAAAGTCCCCTTTTCTCTGTCACTTCAGGTTGCACGTGCAGGAAGCAAACAGATCCCAACAGAGATCCCAGAAGCACAAAGTTTGATTTGTTAGACAGAAAGTGGCATCCAGAGAGAGAGATGTTTAGGCTCAGCATGGAGGATGGGGAAGGTAGGTGAGCTGGAGAACAGAGAATCAAAACACTCACCTCCCCATCCTGCCAGTAAGGTCGTGAGAACACACATCCCATCTGCATGGAGTCAGGTCCCAGAGGGAAACCTAGACACTCACCTCTCCATCTTGCCACTAAGGCCTTGAGAACACACTTATCCGCTGCATGGAGTCAGGCCCTAGAAGGATATGTAAAGACCATATTGAAATATGAGGCCCTGATGGACAGAAGCTGGTTATGGGCTTGAAACAGCTGCTTATGGAGATGTTGACTTGGATAAATCCTTCTGTTTCTGGACTGCTGCTAATCTTCATATAAAACAGAAGTGTGGCCCACATCTTTAAGTTTCCTTCAGTGTTGGCCTTGCCTGTGACATCTCTTGACAGAAGAATCTTTCAGAATGTGATTCTGCAGTGGATCTGTCCACAGTAGTACTGATATGTGCAAGGGTGAGACACAGGTCCATGGCAGAGCATTCAGGATTCTTCTCTCTAGCTCACGGAGCATAGTTCTAGGATTCTCCATGAGTACTCTGACCTCCACTCTCAGGGGCACCTACAGGTGCCATGGATACCTCAACTCATCTCTGTACCTATTGTCGTGTGCCAGTGGCCATGTGGAGCTCATGGTCCAAGGTGAGGTGATCCAGATCTTTCTGAGCTAAAGGGTATATCAGCATTACACATTTACAATCATTGACTAGAATTGGGTTCCAAATGTTGCAGAGGGTCAGCCAGATGGGTATTCACCCTCATGATGGTGGAGGCCAACATGGATATTACTAGGAATGCTCATGACAGTCCCTGCTTATGGACCTAGAAGGGTTTGAGAAAATCTAAAAGAGCATCTGGGGAGGCCATAGACAGATATAAGATACTAGGCAGAAACCAGTCCCCAGTGACAACCTCTGCTCATCACCCTCCACTTACCAGTATTCTCAGACCTTTGCTGTCAGTGAAGCCATGGCCCTCAGTGTCTGCACGGGAGAAGGTAGCCTTGCTGTAATAATTACAAAGCCTGGTACACTTTCCTTCTGTTCAAAACAGATCCAAATTCATACATCAACCCTAGACAGACAGAATTCTCCATGAGAATCTGAATATAATGATTCTCACATTAAACAAAATAAAATGCAGCAGTCTCAATCAAAACCTATTGCTTTGTGAAGGCTGCAACCTTTCACTTCAGGGTGAAATAGGCGAACTGAGATATTACGGGTTCAACCTTCATTTGAGGGGTGACAGGTAAGAATGTCTTCTGCCTGCCCTTGGTGTGCTCATCTGAACAAGAAGTTTGCGGATAGAGCTGCCAGGGACTATATACAACTTACCCTTGAGTCTCCTAAAGTGATGGAAGAGCTGCATCACTCTCTCCTCACACTATTGCTGTCCTGTTTGTCTCGATAACTATTCTTTGTAAAGAGGACAAAAGTAAGGGTTAGATCTGTCAGTCTTTGGATCTATGTTTAGTGTGAGCTAGCCATGCTATTGGGGGGACTATCAGGTGAGAATCCACTTGCTTAAAATCTGCTCTCTTTCCTGGTTCACACACTCATGCACACTCGCTTCACACCAGTTTTTGAAAGCTATGACTACAGGACACTCTGCATGACACTGCCTCACACCTTAGTCCTGCATTTCCCATATGATATGTGCAAGAAAAGTGATGGATCACAATCTACATCAGAAGGATGAGCTCCTACTGAACTGGACAGAGAAAAATTTCTTGGTCTGATGTGGGGCAGAACATCTGGGAAAGTTTGGCAACAAGACACAGGTTCTCAACCTTAGCAGAAACCATATCTCATCTCTGATACAATAATGTAGTTCCTGCTCAACACCCCCTATGTGGTCTCTGGGTACTCAGAAGAGATCAGGGAAAGGCTCAGATCACAGGAGATATGTAAGTGGAAGGTGTAAGTGTGACAATGGAACAAACACTCAGCAAAAACACCCACTTAGGAAATCATCCCAGACTGAGGATGTTGAGTCCACACAACCTCTGCTGAATTCACCACAGACACCACACTCAGAATGGTCCTGTGGCTGCTCAGTGCAGTGACTGGGCGTCAATGCCGATAATGTCTTGACAACTTATTCTACCCTGACTTTTCTGTTTTCACTGTTGTTTCCACAGTGGTGATGAAGAAACTGAGAATAAGAGAGGAAATGGGAGCCCAGATATGCCAGCAGAAAGATTCATCCCAGACTTCATGAGGTTATAGGAGGAGAATGATGGGGGTTTACAGTAAATGAGAACGTAGACCTCAGAAGAAACACTCAGATATCTTAAGCATGCACATATCCTATTTCTCTTCTTCTGTTCTCAGGATCATTTGAGATTATCAGTCCATCCTAGAACTTGTCTAATCCCCAGACAGTTGAATAAAGAGAATTGAAAAACATAGCCCTGGAAACAGAGGATCCAAGATTCGTTCAGGGAAGTAGGGATCGTGGGTAGACATTTAATTATCTTGGGAAAATTTAGTTATCATGAAGGAATTTGGGCCATCACTTATTTCAGTACTTCTTTTTCTACATTCACAGCCTCCTCAGAGAACCAGGATCACACAGTGGAGAATCTCATCAGGATGGGGTTTGCTGCCATGATCCTCACAGTCCTTGGCATTCTGCTGTTTGAGGCTTGGAGCAGCCGGAGGCAGGCCCACCATGCAGTTGAGAGGTAATCAGAGAAGAAAGAAGAACATCTCTCAAGGATCCAGAGTCTGGGAAATAAATCTGATGATCTCAAGTTTTCTGCAAGAAAATCTAGTTCTTCCATTGAAGAACCGGTGTGAGAGAATGTCCAGGGAGCAAATGTGTTTTGGGTGCAGAGGAAGGTGTGAGTGTTGTGATGAGATGCTTCCTCCGCAAATGAATTTACATTCCTCCACCTACTGTGGGCATTTGCTGGCCGAACCAACTCTTTTCTTGATCTATAAAGTGAGGAAATGGGCTGCCCGGTCTGTCTGGCATTGATCCTTGTTTCTATACATATTTTCTTTCCCTCCCTCTCATGTGTCACTTTCCATTTTAATAAATTGCCACATTCACTATGGCAGAAGCTTCTCTCTGTTGGACTAGAAACAAAGATGTTGCCTACATAACAAAAAGAAAATGAGTAAAGTCAGAGCCCAGAATTCAAAGTCACTCTGCCTATGATGTCCCAAACTCTCTTCATGACCCCCACCCTTTCAGTGTTCAACCCATGCTCTTCATGGAGTTTCTCTTGAAATATAAAGCCAATGTTACCACACTGATGGAATAAGGACTGTCTCACAAGACAGTTTGGGCAGCACTTTGACAGTGTTTTCTTAACACAGATCTCTGATTTGTAGCATTTGCTGACCCCTATAAACATCCCCATCAAAGACACCTTCACAACAGCAATGTAACATCACAGGTGTAAGGTTGAGGAATGTTGCATTAAATTGATGTGTTTTTCATTTTATTTTCCACTGTCTATTTCTCATATATGCAAAAGCAAATGGTATGCTGATCAATCATCCCAGATTCACCTTGCTAGGAAGACTTATCATACAATGATTCATAATTTCTACATAGAAAATCATGTTATATTCAAACAATAATAGTGGTATTTATTTTTCCCTCTTTTATAAACTATACTTCTGTTTCTGTATTAGCTAAGTCTTCAAGTACAAAACTCAAATGTGTGAAGAGATGTGACTCTTAACTTCTTCAGGTTGCAGAGTTCCATGGCCGAGCCCCAGGTGGAGCTCTGGGATTCCAATCGGTGAGAGAGAGGAAGGATTGTATGAGTGAGATATATTGAGACCATGATTGGAAAAAGCACAGGGACAAATAGCCAAACTAGTGGAAACGCATGAACTGTGAACCAATGGCTGAGGAGCCTCCAGGAACTGGACCAGTCCCTCTGGATAAGGGAGACAGTTGATTAGCTTGAACTGTTAGGGAGGTCCACAGGCAGTGGAGCCGGGACCTGTCTTTGATGCATGGGCTGGCTTTTTTGGAGCCTGGGGCCTATGCTGAGACACTTTGCTCAGTCTTGGTGTAGGGAGGAGGGGACTGGACCTGCCTTGGCTGAGTCTATCAGGCTGGGCTGACTCCCCAGGGGAGAGCTTGCCTTGGAGGAGGTGAGAATGGGGGATGGATTGCGGGGAAGGGCTGGGGAGTGGGAGGAGGGAAGACAGGGGAATCTGTGGCTGATATGTGAAATTAAGTTAATTATAAATTAAAAATATTTTTTAAAAAAGAAAATCATGTTATATTCAAACAATAATAGTGGTATTTATTTTTCTCTCTCTTTTATAAACTATACTTCTATTTCTGTATTAGCTAAGTCTTCAAGTACAAAACTCAAATGTGTGAAGAGATGTGACTCTTAACTTCTTCAGGACGTATTGCAAAATTTCTGCTTTCTCAACATTCAGTATGATGCTAACTTGGGTGTTTTGGTACATGAACTGTGTTTTGGCATACTGACTGTGGAGGAAATCTGTGTCTAATTACCTGTGACTGTCCATGGTGAATGGCTGTGGGACACTGACAAATACTGACTCTTCATCAGAAACTGTCTCCATTTTATGCATTTTTAATTTTAACCTTGTAATTATAATCAATAACATATGATTTTGAATGTTGAATGGGATTTACATGATTGAGTAAATTCTATTCATGAGGTGTTCTTTTCATGTTATAACACATTCTCATGGCTAGCAGCAGGGTATCACCTAAAGAATTCACATTTAGTAAATGCTTTTCGTGGTGTTAAAATTATAGAATACTTAGCAGTCTTATGAATATGATGTCACAGATTACTTGCTCTTCAGGACTGTTTCTACAGGGTGCAGGAATGATATTTTTGTAGATATTGCAGTGGTGTTCATGGGAGATTTTATCCTATAATTTGTTTCTTCTAATTTCTTTTTCTTGATTCACAGTTAGGTGATGCTGGGCTTACAGCATAATTAAGGTTACACATTCCGTTCTCTAGACCTGAGTGTCCATTGATTTAGGTAGCCTGTAGTCAATTCCTCCCTCTATCTGAGCAGATTGTTTTGTTGTGTTTTGGTTTTTGTTTTTTCAAGATAAGGTCTCTCTGAAGAGCCCTGGCTGTCCTGGAACTCACTATGTAGGCATGGTTGGTCTTAATCTCACAGGTATCCACCTTCCCCTGCCTCAGAAGTGCTGAATTTGAAAGGATGAGCTACAAGAACTAGCAGCTGAGCAGATCTTAGGAGACTACACTTGTCCACGCCATCAACATACCACCTCCCTCTGTCCTCATGGAAAATGTTACGTGGTCCAGTCCTGTCATACTTTCATCTGAATCTCATATGTTCATGGAGGGAAGAGGTATATTCTGGTTCTGAAACATGATGCCTAGGATTAATCTAGGAATTGACACTCTGATACTTACTTCATTGGAGGTCAATGGAAGAGGGACAAGGAGCTAGGATGCCACATGACACCACCCAGCCCAGATGAACTAAGGTCCTTTCCACTCTCTGAGCACCACTAGTTTACAGGAAGTCATGCAACATGGTGAGGGGAACAGGTTGCAAATGGAGGCATGAGCAGAATCTATTGTCACTACCTCAGGGGACAAATGGTTGCTCTAACCTCAAAATTACCAATACTTAGCAACACTTCAGAAACTTCTGCATGAAGCTGTGGAGGGAAGAATGAGCAACACCAAAGTGAACCAGAAGAGAAAGGGCTGGAAGGATCCAGCAACGATGCCCATTATCTGTGAAAATACAGACCCTTCTCCTATGAGTAAGTCAGCAAACTAAATGCTGGGATCAGGGAAAGAAATTGACCATGTAAGGAGTCCCAAACTTTACTTCCATGTGTTGTCCTCTGAGAGTGCAGCATCAGGTTCTGATTTCTCTTAGCATCATTAATCTAGAAACGGTCCCACAGACATGACTAAATTATAATCTGATCAAAGCACATCATCAGTGAGGTTCTCGATTTCCCAAGTGACTTTAGTCTACTTCAAGATGACAAAACCTAATCATTCCACTCTCCCATCCCAATTGATATCCTCAGAAATATGAATCCGTACATGAACCCTTCCATGTCACAGAACTACTTGATTCTCACACTAACCCTGAAAGAGAGGTCATTGCCCTCATTATGCATCGAAGGATGGCAGAGGAATATTATTACCAGCTTCCGTTTGAAAGTCTGCAAATGATGTTCCTGCACATTACAGAGCAGCCAGAGAATATGCTCCCCCTGAGCATTAGTGCTGTGGGAACTGAGAAAGGATCTGCGGTGTTATATCAGGATCTGTGGCCCAGATGGAAAAGGAATAGAGGGAAAAAACACAGTGAGGAAGTTTTGAAGAAAAGGAAGGAGTAGGAGGGGCTTCCTGTGACAGCAATGAAGAAGTTAAAGGAATAAGAAACTTATCAGTTACAAACCACAAGTCCAGGCAAAGAGGGAAGTCAGCTTCCCCAATGAGTCTTCTAGGGCGTGCACAACTCTTTCTGTATCTTCTCTGTCACTATCTGTGATGGCCATGTTTGATACTCCAATCAACCTCTGCAGTAAAGGTCCTTCCTCAGTTTCTCCATCCTTCCATTCTCATTCTGATACTAACCTCAAACTGTCCCAAACTTAATTGTTTCTTCCACTGACCCGTGGACATCAGCACAGCTCCAGTTCAGTGAAGACTCAAGATATCTGTATAATCTCTTGATCCATCCACCTTCAGCAGCACTCCAGGCTCCTGTCCCCACTTCACCTAATCCTTTAAACAGTTCTGCCCATCTTCAGTCATTCTGCTCTGGTCCTTATCCTCATCCATGCTGAATCCTTCATAAGAGATAGTGTTCCTGTAATATCTCAGAAGGCCTTGCTGATGTTCACAACCAGCAGAGCTAATCTCTCCCCAGCAAACACATTCTTCCCACAAGGCAAATTCAGTTGAGGACAAAAGATGCATTTTATACACACACACACACACACACACACACACACACACACAGAGAGAGACAGAGACAGAGAGACAGAGACAGAGACACAGAGAGAGACAGAGAAAAAGACAGAGAGATAGACACAGACAGACAGACAAGAGAGAGACCAATATGACCCTTCTATTACTAAAGTTCAGTAACTGGGTTCAGATTACTAGTGGACATTTATCACAATTGATTGCAAATAGGTTCCTTCTACCATCAGCTTTCCATAACAATTGACTCCTTAGAGCAGCAACAGGGTCAAATATGCCTTTGCCTGCTGTGCGGTAGTGGCACATGTCTTTAATCCCAGCACTCGGGAGGCAGAAGCAGGCAGATCTCTGTGAGTTCAAGGCCAAACTGGGCTACAGAGTGAGTTCCAGGAAAGGCATAAAGCTACACAGAGAAACCCTGTCTCCAAAAATAAAAAAAATATTTCTTTGTTTAAACATTTGACTATTAGAGGTGAAAAAAACAGATCATGTCCATTGCACAAGGGTAAGATGGAGTCACAGCACCCTGTGAGATTTTCACATTTCAAAACAACTGATGGTCTTCCTTGATGGGTAAGAACCCTAAGTGTGTCTTATCCTCTGATCAGGCCTGGACCCCACCCATCTTCAACTCAGCCTCAACTTCCACTGTTAGAGACACTGAATTTCCCCTTCTACGTAGCTCCCTTGTGTGCAGAAAACAGGCACGATTTTGTCCATCATTTGCACCCTTGTAAATATGTCTTCTTCAGTCCAACGAAGGAACCAAGGTGACACCAGTCACTCTCTGGCCCGAGACTAAGTGGAATGACGTGTTCTCCATGGTAATAATCACTACATGGGTATTAGGAGGTAGGAACAATTCTTGTACTAAACAGAGTTCTGGAAGGAAGGGTTTGTCTCCACATGAACTGTAGTCATGTGATCAGTGTGTCTCCATGGCTTTCAAGCCCTGGGAAAGCAACAGCCTGTAGCTTCACAAAAGCATCTTCAAGACCAGGAACATAACTAGTTGTCCTAAGAAGCCAAGTGAACTCTAAATGAACAGGTTGAAGAAATGAAGGACATATGTGCAGAGGTTCTAGGACAGAAGGAGCAACCACTTCTCCAACACTGGGGAGATTTGATCCCCTCGGATCAGGGAATGAGACACTTGGGTGAGATTACGTTCTAATGGGGGAGGATATGGACTTACCTTTGCTTTCACCTGCTTCAAACAAACCTAGGAAAGAAGACTGCTTGTTTCTGACACATACCTCTCCTTCCCATCATGCCCCATAGGTCTTTAACATTCCAAAAGTCTTGCTTAACAGCCAGGAGTTTCCTTCGGCATCCTCCTGATTGGGACTCCCCAGAGAGCAGAGCTCATGGGTCTCTAACATGATCACATGAGTGGTAGGACTAAATACCTGAGATGCTACGACCAACACACTCAGAGAAACACATTCTGCTCCTGACCAACTCAGCACATAAACCAACCAATCCCTGAGGCAGGAAAACAACCAATCCCTGAGCATGAAATGAAGCCAATCCTTGATCGGGGCAACTCCCTTAACAAAGGAGAGCAGAGAAATAATAACTTTTACCAGAGCAGGAGCAGAACTGCTACATGTCTTCAGGTAAACTCCCTTAGCAGAGTGGAGAAGAAAAGTGATGTCTTTCCCGGAAAGGAGCACAACTGCTACATTCCTGTAGGGAAAACATCACCCACAAGAACAGAGTTCTAACAGCTCCAGAGAATCTAGGAAACAA